AGTGCTCCACCTCGCTGTTTACTTCTTTTCTTGGTCTTTGGTTTATTTTTCATCGTCGACGTTTACGCGAAGCAGCTTCCAAACCCTTTTTCACACCATAACCAGCTGCACCAGAGATTCCTCCTAGAGCCGCCGCCTTACCAGCTGCTACTAAAGCTGGAATGAGTGCTGCCAATGGTAACAATCCCTCTTTTTGTGTCCTCCTACGTCTCCTTAGTTGTTTACGAACTGTTCGTTTGCTCTTCATGACACATACTACCACTCACACGTAAGTGCTCCCGCTTTTATCAACGTGGTCGTAGCGAAATCGTTGTTCGTATTCTTGCACGCAATTGTCAGATACTGGGGGTGTGAAATCAGTGATTGTGTCATCCAAGGTTTGCATCTTGATTAAAAATCCCTCAAACTCCTCCATTGGAAGTCCTCGCACGTAGGTTCTCAATTCGATCAATATTTTGTCGTAAGTGGTGTAGGCAAAGCAACACATGTCGATTTTGAACAAAAACGTTTTGAAATCGTTCCACTCGTTAATCACAGTTCCAGCGGCAGTTAAACAGGCAATCAGGAGGCTGTTTTCTAAGACGGATCCTATGACAATGCCTGCTGCCACAATGATCAATGCCAAAGCATTCAGACAACCGTGGCACCACTTAAAGTGGTAAAACATCTGGAGATGACACCACCATTGACGGTGGTAAAAGGCAAACAACCCATCCAATCGCTACAACAAATCTTTGTTTACCAACTGGACGCTTTTGTTGGATCCGTTCATTAGAGATACGGTAGTGATTGAATCTTGGGAAGAACTCATCACGATGTCTCGATGAATTTGTGACATCTCATACATCCTTCGTCCTTTAAAAGGTGGCTGAGAATCCTTTGATTGTCCGAACTGCCTGGATGTAAATCCAAGACCATGTATCCGAACGGACGTTCTGTCAAACGTTGAAACGTGTCTTGTAAAACTTGCCATTGGGTGGGAAATGCCTGTAACAGTAAATTTCTCGTGCCTGATTGATCTCGTGGATTCTTGAAGGCTACGATGTAGTGGGCGTTTCTGGAAATACTCTTGGCATATTTCCCCAGCGGAAACATGTCTTGGCACAAGTAGAGCACGGTGACATTCTGATGGTGAGAATGTTTGGTGAACAGATCCAACACTTGTTTATCGTTCCCTTCTTCAGCCATTAGATCGTCTAACACCAGTAATCCGCCTTTAGGAAACCACGTTTTCAATTGATCTGTGTCGGGAACGCCTTTGTGAAACTTGACCCCCTGTTCTTTCATGGGCTGAAACCAGTCTTGCCACACTCCACAGCAGTAATGTATTTGGGAGGGTGGGGTATGAAACAAATCGAGGTTGTTCAGTAAAAGTTTGGTGGTAAACACAGTCTTGCCACACCCTGAAGGACCCACCACCAATACACTGGAAGGGGTGTGAAATCGAAAAGACTCGCATCGTTCCATGAGTTCAAATGAGCAAACGCGCATGGACATGCTACTTTTGATACCACATGGAAAGGAAAAATTCCACCCAACGGGGAATCGAACCCTGATCTCTTGAGTGACAGTCGAGAATACTAACCATTGTACTACAAGATCATCACACAGAAAATGAACGTTTTCAATCGTATTTTAATGTCAAACCAACAATCATTACACTAAATATCTCACACCGCAACGAGGTGTCTTGGTGATGTTTCACTTTACACACTTTATCCCATTCTAACTCCTTCTC